TGAAAAGTGATGTAGGGCTTCTGGTTAAACAAAGTACATTCAACATACAAATTTATTTCTGTTTCTTCCTAAAACACCATTAAATTGATAGTAAATGAATTTTAAAAATGATAAAGAGAATAGAATGGAGGCATCAATAAAGCCTACCCCTATCACCCCAATTAAAACCATAGCCTCCCCTTCCTAATCTTAACCTGCCTTTTCCCCGATAGCACCTGTTACCATGTAACAGATTATATAATTTACTCATAAATTATACTAATTTGCCAGACTTATCCCTAATATGTAGGCATCAAGAAGGCAGAATTTTTATTTTATTCTTTGATGCAGCATTCTAAGAGAACAATGCCTAGCACTTAGTGGGAGCTCAAAAAATATTTGTGGAATGAGTGAATGGAGAACAGAACAAGACTATGGAAGCCAAGAGCAGATGAATGAATGAAACTCAAAGGGAGGTTAACATCCAAGCCAGCATGAGAATGGGGTTGGAGTTGCCAGAAACAAGCCAATTCATCTAGCAGAACCACAGGAGGCTCAGAAACTGGCAGCAGGTAACTCTGAAGGTGGGAATGCACATCAGTGGAAAACTGAGTCATACTAGGCAAAAGCACTCAGAGTCCAGCAGGGGATGAGGCTTTGACATTCTGAAGAGACTGGGAAGAAGAATTCAGGACTTAAAGACCAGCACACTGAGAGTGAAAGGAATGAACTTAATCAGAGGTTGAGGTTTACCTACCCAACAGTGAGACCTCTGTTCTCTTCCTCTACTTGACTTTGGGAACACAAGCAGTTAAGTCCATTAAACAGCCCCCCTCAACTGTCATCCCCCACAAAACTAACCAGAGAGAAGCCTGGAGAGTCTCTTTGGTTAAAATTGCTCGGTCCAAGAGAACATACAACAATGCACTTAGCAACAACACCAGAAACTGGAAGATCACCAGGCCATGCATGAACAGTTCTGAAGAAAAGTTCTTTCCAACCTAGAATTGCTGGTTAAGTGGTCACTCAAGTAAAGGAGAGAATAAGGTGCTTTTTTTGTTTTGTTTTGTTTTTTTAAATTTCAGACATAAAAGGAGGCCAACTATTTACTCCCACGCATCTTTTTTTCCATAATCTTGGGGAACACGTGCTTCACCAAAATAAGATGCTAGTGAAGAGAAAGAGCAAATGTGTGAATCTGGAAAGATTTACACAGGAAAGGGGCACAGAGAATCCCCAGGTAGAGAAAGAGAACCCATCTATTAAAATAGGTGACTAAAACCTAACTATTTAGTTCTTATAGTGGAATGCACAATTTTCTCTGTCATTTTGAAAATGTGTCAGTACTTCGTTGATCCTACAAGTATAAAGTAAAAATATAGCTGAAACATTGCTGGAAAAATAAGCCATCTCTGTCAGTAAACTAAGCTGCAGACGTTAACTTCTTGTTATGAACCTACAGAGTAGAGAGTCAAGCTACTGAGCTTTGCCAACAGAAATTAAATATGCTCAGGCAGGCAAAGAAGACCTAGCCCCCTTTGCTAGAGCCTCAATTTCCTCAAATTTAGGAGGCTCAACCAGTTTATCCTAAATACCCTTTTTAGCACTAAACTTCAATTTAGACCTTAAAGTACTTCCCTAACTCCTTTTATTCTGAGTTAATTCCTGACAAATTACATGCCAGCTCACTAGTATAGTCCTGTTTTCTGTTTGTTATCCTGGAATAATTGAACTGCTTTCCCTCTAACTCTCAAAACTGTCCTAGTTTGAAAGATAAATTACATGACCTCCTCCCCAGAAATATGTCTACTTTGTTTTATATTCTTAAGGAAACAAATGAATTTACTAACTTAAAAATATAATATTCCATAGCTTGCTTTTTCTTAACATTTGGAGAAATGTCACATTCTTTGTGAATGGCTAGTGAATTTTTTTTTTGTACTGGGGTTTGAACTCAGGATCTTGCACTTGCTAACTAAAGCACTCTTCCACTTGAGCCACATCCCCAGTCCCTTTGGCTTTATTTTTCAAAGAGGGTCTTCCAGTTTTGCCCTAGCTATCCTATTCACATTTCCCACATAGCTTGAATAACAGATGCCTGCCACCATGTCCAGCTATTGGTTGAGATGGACTCTTGAACTTTTTCCCTGGACTGGCCTAGAACCACAATCTTCCCAATCTCTGCTTCCAGAATAGGTGGGATTACAGACATACGCCCCCACATTTGGGCTATAAAGAACTTTGTAAAAACCCAATAAGCTATAATGTAAAATTTCCTTTTAAAAATACATTATTAAATGTGCAAAATATTCTGCTAAAACATTCTAATAATCTTAAAACATGTGGTACTTAAAAACCAGGACTAAAATATTTGTGGAAGAATTTGATATTCTAGGTAATGTGATAAATTTTAATTATTGAAGCAGCCCCAGAATAAAGTCTTTCATCTGACTTTATTAACAATGACAATAATGATTTCACAAGAATGTTCTCTCAGCCAGAGATAGGTCTCATTCATCGGCATGGTTGTTCATGAGCTAATCAGCTACAAACAAGAAAAATACCCACTTCCACCACACACACACATACACACTCTTTGAACTAATGATGCTCACATTTTCTTTAAGGTTAGGACCCAAAGCTCTGCCAGTCCCTTGAACAACAGCTTCCATGTTAGCCAATGAACTTGAAACACTCTTTTCATGGTGAGCAACACTGAAATACACCCCATAATTGATTATTCCCTTTCAAGGGAGATTTAACATTGCTTGGCTTTCTTTGAAGATTCAGAGTCCCTTAGTTTTACTCAAATTTGCACTGTCCTAATACAAAACATGCCTCATTTTGAAGAGCTGTGATTTGTTTTAGCATTATTTTTCACTTAAACCACTTAAAAATCACTGTCTGAAGAAAAATTTCTTTTAAAAAAGTGAACGAAAACAAAAATCCACATTCACCAGGAAGGGGGGTGAGTGGGTAGGAAATGCCATGAAATTTGGATTTATTTTGCTTTAAAGATACATGATTACCAGATTTTTAAAAATTACTTTTAAAATGAGGTAATATGTCAGATTGGATCAAGCTATGGTAATAGACCATCTACCCCTAACCTAATGAAAACAAAAGGAAAACTGGATTTGGCTATCACTTGGACATTTAATCTCTGTTATAAACTATGCCTGAGTTTTGGATCTGAGATCAGGTTTTCTTGGTAGCCTCAGAGATATTTTCCCTTTTTTTTTTTTCAAAATTTCCTTTTGATCATTTCAGACAATTCGTCTTTTTGAATGAGAAAGAGTAGAAGGAGCAAAGTTGAATGAGGTTAAGTAAATGGAGAATCTGTCAAATAAAGCAAGTTTAAATTCCAGTAAGAGCATCCATGCAGGACAAACGGAAGCATTATTCTTTTGAAAACATTATTCTTTTAAACAGTGTGTAATGACATCCTCCCTAGAGACTTTTCATGAGAAAATACTTCCTCAGAAGTCATTTTCTAGATTCCAAGTATAACGAGCAAAGCACAGTTAAAAGTCAACTTGTGTTTTCTTTATGTAAAAAGTTTCAAAATTAGAACTGAAAAAAAAAAAAGTACTGACAGGAGTGTCTCTGAGTCGTTTTTGTTACCCACTGGTACTTTCATGAACCGTTAAGTACAAGTAGAAAGAAGACTCACTATTATTACCTTAGACCTATAAATCAGTGAATGTATCTTTACTCTAAAATTTACACCACATATTCTATTTTCAAGGGAGAAATATATCAGACTCAAATGCACTGAATGTAAGAAAATTTTATTCTTTAAATTCCTTGCAAGTATATCACTTTCTTATGTTCAAGCATAAACTGTGGCTCATACTTCCAATATTCTGGGTTCCTGTTACCTCCTCAGAACTTGATTGCAAATAACTATGGAAACCTTGTTTGTTTTTTTAAAAAGGTTAATATTAAACATCAGAAGTCAGCTTTTGTTTTAAATGTTTAAAATATGTTTAAACAACAAAAAGACAGATGAGCAGAGAAGTTACTTCTTTTGAATTGAACACTACTTTATAAGCTCAACGAATCCTTGTCCAAACAAAGATCTCTCTCCAAAGATTTTGGAAAATATGAATAGATTTTGAAAATAATGGAACACAGAAGAAACACACTAGAGAAAAATCAGAAGTATGATCTGTTTATTTAGCAAACTAAACTTGGAGAAAGTTTTCTATTAAAAAAAACTTAAGAATCAGAATCATATCCAAATTTTAGATTCCCCATTTTCTTTGGTATTGAAATTCAGGATATAAAATATTTTATTTTGAAAAGTTTGGATCTACAAAAGTTTTCCACATAAGGAAAATATAATATTAAGTTATCTGTTATTGTCTTGTTCATCGAAAATCTAATAAATGTATAAAAGCTACAATTATATGATTTAAAGACCAATACCATCAAGGAAATTCTCATTTATAGATATGTTTCCTACTGGAAATATATTTTAAGTTTCTAATGGTCTTTTACCATTCTTTTTACTGTGTTATCTGTATAGTCATCCAGTTTCTGAAAACAAAACAAAAAAACCTTGCCATTCATTTTTAAAAAGTCTGTATACCTTGGAATTTTGTGTTTCAGTCTTTCCCATAATACACTATCTGGAAATTGCTAACAATATTAAATTAATGAGATAATAAACTCAATTCAATCTTAATCTTTTTTTTTACATCATAGCAAGAACTATTACTTAAAAAACAGACATTTTATTTCTTCTAAGTGTATATTATATAAACTGCTAACTCAGCAAAGCAAAACACTTCCAGATACACCAGGGGAACTAAGCTACTCTTACTTCTTGGATAAATGGATAAATTCTTTGCTTGCTCCAATTCTGACTTCTCCATGTCCCTCTTTTCTCATGTGAAAATAAGAAATGAGTTAGAGAAAAAAAAATCAGTAACATACTGGGGCAATGAATTATTATTATTATTTTTTGCATAGACTCTTGTGATCATAAAATGATCAAGCACTTTATAGCTTCAGTGCTAACACTGTGATTGGGAACAAGATGAGTACAACCACAATAAAATACAGCTATCTATTAGAAGGACTGCATAAAGACATCTTTGGCCATGTAGGCTCTGGGCCCTCTGGAAATAAGTCAGTTGCATTGCCAACATGACAAAGAAAATTGCAATGTTCAAAATCAAGAAAAGTCTGGTGTATGAAGCAGACAGTGACGGGGCTTTGCTGTGAGTAGCTGTCACTATCTGTGACTGTCCAAACCGGCCTTTTATCAAGCCCCCATTTTTATGTTTTTCATATGTTACATCTACAAAGTCTAAAAGGTCTTTCATTTCTTCATCTTCATCTATGGGTAGTTCTTTCTGTGCCAAAATTTGAGCCTTCTGTCGAACCTTTTTCTCATTGACTTCAATCTGTGCAAAAATATCAGGGACAGCATCCACAAATTTATAGCGTTTTCCAGCCCTCCTATTTTTCTTTGACTTGCTTTGCTGCTGCTGCTGTGATATGGCAAAAATCCTGTCAATGGCCTCCTCAGTCTGTCTCTTATCTGAAAATCTCAGCAGGCGCTCAGCAGTCTTCCTAAAGCTGGCTGTATTCCGGACTCGGGACAGGATCTGCTTCTCCAGCAGCTGGAACACTGGCTTAAAATGCTGCAGGTTCTGTTCCACAATAGCAGCATAGTCCTTCACCTCAGGGATAGTGGTGCTCTTGATGGCTGAATTCTGGTCAAACAGAATCTTCTGATGATCTGCAATGACCTGTGCAAAGGCAGACTGTCCTGTGGTCTCACCTGTCCACAGGTAAACTGCATAGGCATGTTCAGTGGTGGCTATGAACACATCCAGTTGCTGAGAGTCTCCATGGATGCTGAAGCTCTGAACATCTACAGATGGCCCTATAAAGAGGTAAGCTGCCCTGGTGATGGGACTTCGGAGGTGCATAGTAACATTCACATAGTTTGTCCCATTGTAGGGATAGCCCCGAGGGTATGTCACTGAGGCAAAGGTTGCTTTCTCACTGTAGCCAGTATCATCCATCCAGTACATTTTATAGAGACCATCTCGCTGCCTGATGAAAGCCCCATGGACGCCATCCACCACTGTCTCCTCAAAAGGAACATCCACATTGTGGAAGAAACTTGCTGCTGTCTGCAGGGGGCTCTCCTCTCCCAGGTGTATTTGGTCCACGAGGAGGAGCAGTTGTGGGTGCAGGAGGATAAGATTCCTCTGAATGTTCTTCAGGTTGAGCTGGGGTTATAAGCTCCCACACCTTCTCCTTGGATAAAAACCACCCCATCTTTCTCCACTGCTGCAACCACTCTCCCCTGACAGCTAGCTGCCAGGTCATGCTTGTATTTTGACCACTTTGATGAGCAATCTTCTGTGACCTGACCCTCCCAGGGAGAAAAGCAGCTCTTCGACACGGCTGGGGAAAACATGAGAACGTTGTTGAAGAAGGTATACTTGGCCCATAGAGAGCCTCAGTAATGAAAGGCACGCCATTAGGAGCAAAAGTAAATGAGTTTTGATCAGGATGTTCATGTCCTGCATTAAAATTTCTCCATCCTTTGATCCAATCCTTGTATTTGTTCCTGTGGACAATGTCATATATTGCACGTCCCCCAAGTTTTCCTGACTTGAAGGAAAGGAAAGATCTATTGATTTCTGCAGGTAGTGCACTTCCGTAAGTCACAACACCCCAGTCTTCAAAATAATGCAATGTAGGGGTACCAAAATCTGGAGGAGGCACTGATTTCAAGCTTGCATCGTACCTGAAGGGATGAAATTTTAAAAATTAAATAGGTTTCTGATGGAAGTAAAAATAACCCACCAGAACTGTGAGGCCCCATGGTAATATGGCTGGAGAAACAACACACAAATGTTACCCAGAGTACTGGCAGGGTCAACTATTAGGGACATTTCCGAAAACACAGATAATCAGTATGCCCAAGGGGAAACCACTAGTGATTGGAAAGAAGTGTATATTCATAACTTGGGATCCTTGGGTTTCAGACAGAAATGATTTCTGCTGCTAATCTGTACATGGGCCTTCCACTCTTGGCAGTTTTGGAGCTGCCACCCAAATTACCGGGATTAATAGATTTAAATACTTCTAGGGAACCTTGAGCTAGGATTTGGACTCCATTATTAGTCTTGAGTTATAATGAACTATTATTCTACAGGAACTGGTATTATTGAATGTTTGGTTTAAAATCAGTTCATCCTCCAGATTTCTCTAAAAAAAAAAGTAAATTAAAATAGGGTAGCACTGGACATATAGATAAAATTTATTGCTAATGGCCTATCTAAGAATATAAATGGAAATTCCAGGAAATATTGGAAGGTCTAAAATTGTGGCTGTTACTGCCCAGCCCAGATTCAAAGGATTGACTTTGTGTTAATCTGCAGATGATGCTATTTTTCTTAGACAATAAATGGTTTCTTCCTTTAAATGCTTATTATTAAAGCAATATTGTACTCAGCATTAAATTTTCACAGTAATTAAGAACACAGGCTTTTAAATCATAAAATATCCAAAAATAATGATGATTGCTTATTTTTCATAATTTAGGATATCTGTCTTTATAAAGCCATATGATTTACTGCTGATGGGAGAAGAATACTCACATGGTTGCTGTTACACTTTTGCCTAGTGAATCAATCACCTATGGCAGAGTCAATCTTACCAGTGTTTGATTGTAGCCATTTCACTGTTTTAGAGTCTCAGTTTCAGACCATCAGAAATCATGTCTCTATTAGAGTCTAGCACAATGTTGGCTAAATTAATGTGATTTAAAAAGTACAGATACAAGATGAATGGCCATCCTTCTCTGAGTTTTTGGTTGGTTTGAATATTCCTATAAAGACAGATTTTTAACTAAGTTTAAGCAGCATTAATCTGACTCCTATAGTCAGCTTTATAGAACTCTCTGGTTGCTTACTTATGGGTGAATGAAAACATTATTAAGTAATATTTCCATACTCCTGAAAGATAAGCAATTGTTACATATTAATGTGTTTAGTTCATCTATAAAAGTTTTAAAAGTACTGGTGAAACTCGATATTTACTAATTTACTAATAGTTTTCTCCTTAATTGTTTAAACTTTGAAAAAAAGAATAATGAGAAGCAAGCTATTGACAGCTTATTTTGGAGTTGAAGGGAAATTTTAATAGCTTTGAAAGACAGCAAGGATTAATGATTAACTGGTCCCTGTAATTTTGATTTTAACTTACTGGATGCCAACAATATATTTGGCAACACTTAAAAAAGGAGACCCAAGCTTCTCCTTCTGTGCTTAAAAGATTATGGCAAAAAAAATTACACGGTCCTTTTATTACCAAAGTGAAGCTGTCAAACACCTTTTGAAAGAGTAGCATTAGAAAATTATAGTGCTCCAGTTACCAAAACAAAATATTTTACTGCTTTTTGTTTTTGGTGTGACTAACAGAATAACCAGGTCTAAATTTTGTAATTTTCTCCTTATATGATTTCAAAAATGATATAAAACCAAAGCATGCTTATCTATGAAACAGTACAAACCTAAGACATCTTTAAGAATTGCAAATAGTAATTAGATCTTAGATGTAAAGAAATGTTGCTAACAGAGTTTCAGACACTTATAGGAGTTGAACTGAAGCTGTACCACACTTAGGTAACATGGAGAAGGGTTTTAAAGGGCTTTAGATTAGCTTTCTTTTTAAAGGCAAAGAATGAGTACACAGCATGAATATTTCTCTGGGTACCACTTCCTTTGAAAGCCAGCACAATCTGCCATACCAGAGAAATTCTGTGTGCAGAGTGCACCAGCGCTGCCCTTTGGATGGTGTTCCTGGACCTTCTACCACACGGTTCCTTCTGATTTGGTCAGCCAGCCAGTTTCCACTGCCATTACGCATGACAAATTTATCCAGGAACACTAATTGGCTTTCTGGACCATAAAACCAGTTGTAATTTGAGTCTGCAATTGCCACAGTTCTTTGAAATCCTGGAGAAAGAAGTTTTTTAAAAATTAAGAGAAGTTTAAAACTGTACATTCCTATAAAATTCTAAACAATGATTTTCAAAATTAGAATTATGTATCTTAGATAAAAAAATAAAGAAAACCAGGATATCCATATTTTATCCTACGTCAACCAATCATAATCCCCCTGAAAGTTTCTTATAAACTTGTGTGTAAGCTTGAATTTGTTATGTGGCAACTTGTCATTGTTAACAGATGTGTTACACTTATTAATGCATACATATCCTGGTACTTCTTCATTAGTTTCCAAGTTTCATTTTATGAACAATTAGATTTGCATCTGTGCATGGATATCCTTTGTGAATGGCAAATTCCTGAACCTGGAATGAGCACTAGCTTTGCCTCAGCTCAACCCACACTCTAGGCTAAGATAATAGCAGAAGGAGCTTCCAATAAAGTAGAGGTTATATTAAAATTCAGAATGAAAACTTAATTCCCAGAAAAGATTGTAGCAGCATGTCCTGCTGAAAGTTAAAGAGAGAAAATACAAGGGTCATAGAGCCAAGTATCCTTGTGGGAATAAGGAAGAAAAAAAGCATGACCTCATATGTGACAGGTGCTAGTGAAAAGGAATGGGAGAAAACACTGAAATAATAGTCATTGCCAGAATATCAATTGTAGCAAAAAAAAAAGAAAGAGAATGTAGTACAGAATAGATTGAAAAAACACAGAATCTCTTCTAAAATGCTACCATAATTATATTTACATAATTTATAGCTAATGATTTTGCTTTCTAATAGATTAGTAAATGCTCTTCTTAGTAAATCTTATTATAAAATATGGTATTCTAAAAATCACAATTTAGGTCTGAGTTCCTTAAAATCAGAGAATATGTTTTATTCCTCTTTAAATCTTCTGCCTAATTACAATGCCTGTCCAATAAAAGTTTGCTGAATTAATAAACACAAACTCATACGTGTTCCTCTTGGAGGTGTTCCTATTGCCCCTTCCAATTTAAGTGGCCACATACAACTCAGCAGACCCAACCTCAGATGATTGGCTGTTAGATTTCAGCTTAAATTATAAAATTCTGGGAACTTTTAAAGGTCCTTTGCATTAGATGGCCTTTGATTACCAAGATGAACTGCAAAACAGACCTCTTCTGTATGTTTAAGAATGAGCAATAAAGCAATACAGTTCTGAATGTAAGTCTAAACTAAATCTTAAAATGGTGATTTTGCTCTGTAGTGGTTTTTGGATGACTAATCTAATTAAAGAGACTCTACCTAATCCTTATTATATAAGCAGAGCAAAAAAGATTTTTAAATACTGAATTCTTTGTTGCAGGCCTAGAATCACCAAACAAAAACTGTTTCTCAAGGGGGTAAAAAAAAAATCCATCCTGATAAAAATTCACCTTCTAAACTTTTCCTAGTATGCCTGTCCTGTTTCAGAAATGAGAGTTACGAAGCTCTTTCAGAAATGAAGAAATAACTAAATATCACAACACACACACATTTTAGAGCCAATTTTCTTAGAAGGGTAATTGGAAGTTTTATAGTTTTATAGCAATCTTTTTGTTTTGTTCTTATATTCTATACCATTTATTTCAATGAAATAGTTAAAGTACCAAAGTTTCAACTCAAATATGTAGGTATATTCTTTCATTTTGAAAGACTATACAGTTTGGATGAAAAAATTTAAAACCTAAAACTATAATAGGAATGAGCAGGAATCACAGAAAAAGGAAAACCTAATTATTTAGATTCATGTAAATGAGTTTGAGTGTTCAAGCTTATATACACACAAAAATAAAAATACTGTAGAGTCTAGAAATTATATTTGGCCCATTATGTTCCAAGCTTTATATTAATATTTAAGTCACAAATCATGTTGGCTCCCCGAAAATGTTCTGGCTACATGAAGCTCTTGAATTTTCTTTGATAAAAAAAAAAATCTCTTTAATTTCAATATGACAAATCCCACAGACCTCCTTTCTTTTCCTAGTTGAGCCCATTTTCATAATTAGAGGAAATTATAATAGTGCAGTGCTTTCCCACTTCTGACTCTTCACTATACCTGGCAAGATGGTTCTATACATAAATGCAAAGTGTTGTTTAAGCCATGGGTGGCCAAAGTGGTTGATGTCAAAATGTCTCTGAACAAGAAACATGTACTGGAAGAGGGATCTAGTGGTGTAGCTGCCATAGGCAACTCCTTCATAGAGGGAGCCATCCGTCACCTCTCGGAGTAAGACCAGAGATTTCTCCATGATGGTCAGAACTTGTTTGGTCCACAAGTAGGCCTCTTGAAGGTACCCTGAAGGATGTAAACACATGCAACCAATGACTAATGGCTATAACAAAATTTTTAAAAATAGCCCCCTTCCCAAAAAAAATCCCTCTGAGTTATCTAAACAGTTTATATTATTACAAATTGCACTTTGTAAAATTCTTGTCAACATTATAAATAACATCCTGTTCTTCCAGGTTTGTAGTGAGTCCATGATGTAAGTTAAGAAGTTCTTGGATACAGGTCATTTATTAATTAAATGAAGATAAGTCCTTAAGTGAGTGTCGAGAAATTTTCCAATCTTTAATGAACTAAAACTAGATCACATATAAGGTCATACACAGCATGAAACTTTGTGTGTAGAACAGGACTTACATACTGAGATTTCTTTTATTTAATTTTCCTAACAACTACTTGGAAATATTTTTGGAGCTATCACTTTGCAAAACTTGCACCTTTATTTTATAAAATTTATAATAAGCTGTAAAATACTATAAATGCTAAACAGCCTTCAATCAGTACACTTATCCTTTATGTGCTTTAAGATTCCAAGGAATCTGACAAGGCAGCACAGCGGGGCTGAGAAACCATTAGAATGAAAATTTAACGACAAAAAAAATCAGCTGGGAGTCATGAGTCTGCCAAAAATGAGCTACATGATTGTGCTCAAGTACTTCTTCAATCTTCCACATTTTTCATTCTCCCCACTGAAACTCCTAGGGCTAAAAACTTTTATAAAATCTTTTGGACTAGGAAATGCTAACTTTCTAGAATTCTGTGCTTAGTTAACAATAACATTTCTAGTTTACACAGCACTGAACAGTCTTCCTTAATCCTTTTAACAATCCAGTATGCCTTGTTACCACAAAATTACAGAAAGGTTGACTAGTTTCAGACCTCTGGCACATGACTCAAAAATGAACAAACTGTGACCCGAACTTGGGACTTTAAATTTAAGGTTTGCTTTGTTTCATTTAGACCTTTTAAAACCATACAATGCCTGGGGATAATATTAAGCTCACTGCCTCCTAACATGGGTGCAGCCTATTGCTTTAGTCCCACAAATGAGTGTCATCTCAGTGCCGACTACTCTACCTTGGCCTACACAGTGGGCCCAGGAGCCACCAGTTCTGAGACTAGCCCCAGGTCAAGCCCTGGTCCCCCAGGTCATGGGAATAGCACATTTCTCAGGCTTGGCTGTACAGATGTGACTATTTCTGCATGCTGGCTCCTTTTGCCACCAGCCCTACATCAGACATGCCAGCCTTCTCAACAGTTTTCCCTTTCCATTCTCTATTTTTTATCTTGGAAGTCTGATCGTCATCTTTTTCCTCTCTGTGTCTTTCATCTCCAACCAGATAGCAATGTGGCTGAAGGCTAAACCCTCTGTTCTGAATCATGTACTACACGATTCCCCTTGTTCCTTCTAGCAACCCTCTTTCTGGCAATGTATACCAAAATACTTTGTAAACTAAAAACTTCTGTCAGTACAAGGTATTGGATATTGTTCATTAAGCTTTTTCTCTAAGACCTAATTAAAAGTGATGGTTGGTTGAAGGAGAAAGCTAGATTAGAGTAAAATCTGTTATTGGATAAACTATAAAATGTTAATTATTTCTTTTTTTCAAATCAGATTGTTAAATTTTGTCTTTTTTATTATATTATTGTTGTACAGGGAACACATTGTAACATTTGCCAAAGTTCTTACAAGTTGAATTCATCTTATTCATAGCATAGTTGAATTCATCCCCTCCATCGTTCTCCTTTATCTCCCTCTCCTTTCATTACTGGGAGTTTCAACAAGTCTTATTTTTCCATTTTCATACAAGAGTACGTAATATTTCCACCATATTCCCCCTCTAATACCCTTTCCTTATATTCTCCTTCCCACTTGTACCACCTCCAGGCAGGACCCATTTTACCTTACCGTTCTCTGTTTTTAAATAAAGACATTTTTTTTGTTTAAGATGGCTATACAGGAAGTTTCATTGTGACATTTCCATGTATACATGTATTATAATCCAAATTGGTTCATCCTCCCTATTTTTTCCTTTCTATGTTAGTTGCCTTCTTATCATGATTTTAACAGGTTCAAAAATTCTATATTCATTCTTGTATAGAAAGTACATCAACCATATTCACCTTCTTAACTTCCTACTTTTACCTGCCCTCTCCCGTTAGCATGACCTGTTATGCTATTTACTTCTTATGGGGAATATAAACAAGAGTTAAATTCTTTTAGACTTCCAAACTCTGATTATATATTTAACATTCTAATAACTTGCTGTGATCTTACAGCTGCTTTTCTCAGATTCAGTCTTAGTCATTTATAGATTTCCACAGGAGTTATAATTAAGTTAGGCTTAAAGAACAAAGAAAATGCAAACTTGGCAATTATGTAATGTGTTAAGGCAAAGTAGCTATACAATCCACAAATTGCATCCAATTTTAGTTGAATGATCTAGTCTGTTTCAAGGCTTTAGAGAAAAAAGTGGTGCTATGATTTACATCTATGTGCTAAGAATATTCATTTCAAATAATAAAACATCTGTTTAGCTTTCAAAAACCTCATTTACTCCAAGTTATCTCCATTGTAAAAATTCTCTGGAAAAATAAATATTCATCACTGATCTTGTGTTGTATGCATATGGTTTGGGACAATTACAGGCCACAATTAAATAACTTACAAGCTAATATAACTAGCAGAAATTAAGGAAGAAGTGTTCCTTAATTAACTAAGAGAGGCCTCAGGTATTACTGCATCTCATAGGCTTAGTTAGGATCCAAGTATGAACATGTACCTAAGAATAGCTGTAAAAATGCTTTTGTTCACGACATGACAACTATGACTAATGTCAGCTCAGGCATCACCCTGGCTGTGATGAGATCACACATACCTTGATTCATCAGAACTAGGCTTCCTGTGAGTAAAGCCATGCAGTTGGTGGGCTGGTGATTGTGCAGGTACTGAAATCCCATCCTCTCCTGTATGAAGTTTCATACATATATCCTGAGGCATTGGCAATCACTTCAAGAAACTTCTCCTGTTGTGTCTTGCTCAGGTAGTTGTACAAGAAGTCATAAGCAGTGGCAAAACCTACCAGGGAGTGAGCAAGTGGGACTTCATCCCAAGGAGCATCTTTCACCAACCTGTAAAGAAAAATAAACCAGGGAAATGAGGACATCAGGGCTCACAGTTTCATCACTCTACTTAAGTGCCTACTTCTCAGAATGAAAAGGCACAAATGAAGACAAAATCCAAGAGGTTTAATGATATGGAATCTACTTCCCTCCACATTAGACATAAGCATGAAGTCTGTCTTGTGAAAACTACAGAGTTAACACTCTTTTTCTCCTGGGATTCTAGTAACTTTTAAGAATTTTTGCTTTAGATTTTTTTTTTTAATTCTTGATAATAGAAAACACTTAAAGACATATAAAGCACAGAATATGTAGTGGCAAGGTAAAATTCCCTTAAGTACCACTCATAGGGCTTTCCCCTCCCTGTCCACCTGCATAAGAAGCTCTTGTCTCTGGCCATTATGGTCAACACCACAATGGGAAAAGTGGCTAAAGACTGACGCGACTGTGGGAACTGATTCTACCTTAGATTCCTGCAACTCTTTCTTTCCTGTAAAATGAACTGTATTGCCTTTAACGCATTTCAACTATCTTTCAGAAAGTCTAAAAGCTATTCCTTCTGTGAGGTATTACATCATCATTTTCTGGGGAGCCAAATTTCTGCTAGTCTAGCTACATTTTTCTACAACTGTTTTAATAGTGTGTGGCCTACATTAAACAGGAAGCAAAAAAGGATCTTCCACAATCAGAACTGTAAGGAATTATGCAGAAAGCCCTCCTCATCTGTTCAGGATGTATCTGAGTAATCTCTAAGAAAGGGAAACAAATGAAGAGTGTACTATACCTCCAGAGGAGGAAGAAAGCCCTCAGTTAGGGATTAAGCTAAATTAAAGCTTAATGTTTTATGTTATGAAGTCTGTTTGCCAATTGAATGAGGCCTCAATTTCATTTTCAAATTCCTAAGAAATAATACATAGATATATATAGGTAAAATCATTAATATATACTGATATATTTAAAATAATGACACAGGTACTTCTTTATTAAGGTAATAAATACCAACATTTAATAGCAGAGATTCTAACTGCCATGATTGTTAAGTGCTGATGAGCACTTTTGAGATATTTGTAACAACTGCAATGCAATATGAAAGTATCTATGATAGCTTTTTGTAACAAAGTTAACAGCTTCTCCCAATACTATTGCAAATGATTATCCCTATTCAGGATAAAAAAAATGCAAACCCCACAGATCTTAGGTTAAGAATATTTTTAAGTATTCTGAGAGACTACCTCTTCCAGATTTATGGAAATTTATGCTAGAGAAGTGATCCTGGTCTTTTCCTGCTCACCCCATCAGAATTTCAATATTGACCCCCAAACAACATTTCATCTCCCTTCCTTGCTTTTCTGACCCTTAGTACATATATGTGTGTGTATGTGTGTGTACAGAATTTAAGTACTATAAGGGCAATTTTTTCCCATCTTTGTTGCATCTAAAATTGGATCCCCAATCATAGGATAGTGTATGGCAGATAACAGACTCTCAATAAATATTAAAAATGAAAGAACAAGCCTGTTAAACCAGGCCACACTGTTGACAAGGATGATGTGATCATTATGAAATCAGGTATTTGGAGGAATCCTTTTGCATTTAGTAATAATTTCAGCATTCACTTAGTTACTCTGGTGATACAGCTTGGTGCTAAAAAGACTAAGATTAATGAGTTTCTTAATCATTTGGTCACAGAAAAAGCTGCCTTGCTCTAGCAAGTTGGCTTGCCAGCATGTGTACTATAAATAGTGAAAGTGTGAATTAATTCCCTACTTCTAGGAAAAAACCAACTCAGACTGCATGCTTACTGCCAATGAGTTGGGAACATTTCTTCAGTAATGCATGGTAATTGGTGAGCCAAACAGAGGCCAAGTTATTTGTTGCCCAGTCCTGTGTCACTGTACTATGTAATGATGCATCTATAAATGTCAGTATATATACTGGGCCATGATAGTACTGACATCAGTGAAATGCTACCACTGATCAAACCCTCAGTAACCAATGAATTCATTTCTATAGACAATAGAACATTTGACATAATTCTCAAGATTCATAAAATATTATAGTGAAAAGTTCTTTGAAAATTTCTAGATCTCCACAGTGCTTATTTCAAGCAAGTTCCAGTTCAACAAGACACTGGCAACATTAGTAAAATAAGAGTTTATTGTTCTTCTTCTGGTTCATCCAACATTATTCTAAAAGCTGACCTGTAAGAGTTATATTTCTGATGGATTACTTAAATTCTTTACCAACACAGTTTCTACTCAGCATCAGATGCAAAGTTTAATAATGAAAGAGACTATATTGTATAGTCATGGTAACAAAAGAAATTTGCTTCTAGCCTATGGTTGGCAACAGAAAAAAAAAATCTTCAATATGATCCTGACCAGTGGTTAATCAACTCACTAGAAAAGGTACTTAAGTGAGAAATATTAAAAAATTAAAATCTAAACATTTATGAATTTTTTTTCAACTTAAAATACATTTACACATGTGCACACATTCACAAAACTTTGGAAGGCATATCAAAACCTGTTCTTTGAATAGGGGTCTATGGTGTAGTTTCATTCTGTTCCTGCAAAGGACATACCAACACATCAGAATTTCTAGCTTTGGTTTCTTTATAATACAGGAAGAAATTAAAGATATTTGTGAAGGAATACAGAATATTTCCAGAGTTTTGAGATTTTTCACCTTTTACAAAGCTCATCCACACTAAATCATGTCAGCAATGTTTTTACAATAAGTTGCTCCAAAGCATTCACTTAGTTTTAGAAACATTAACTTTTTTTGAACTCATACTTCATCTGTTTACATAATATGTAATTACAGGTATCAGTGAAACTGGCATTAATAGGCCACAGAACAAGTGGTTAGCTCAGCTCTTAGGGTACTGAAACACTTTCCTGATGTAATCAATGAACACATCAACAAAGATGATTTATTTTCATACAGTATAGCAACATGTGTCAACTTTGGAAGACAGTAATAACTCAGTCAATAAACATTCAAAATAGCAAAGGTATGATGTTACAGAACCATAAAAAGGTAAAAAAGTCAATTAAGTATAAAATGATGCCAATGGATTTGTAAAAGAGCATAAAAAGTTAATCAACATGGTTTTAAATTCCACACTGCAACTAATTTTTATGGAATCACCCTTGGTCTAGTTTTACTGTAAAACTGAAGAATGTTCATAATTGTCTGAAAAGATGAAAAAAATACTCCTTCCTTTTCAATCATGTATCTGTGAGAATCTGTCATTTTCATCACATACTTCAACAAAACACACTGCAGCAAACAGAATGCAGAAGCAGACATTCAAGATTTGCAAAAATGAAAAACAACCTCTTCCTTCTCACAAAGTACACTGTTTTCAAAAATTTTTTTTTCTAAAATGTTATTTATGTTGACATGCGATGTATTTATTTTACTATTTTAATGCTATAAATATGAATAAATACTTTTAAAAGTTTTCAATTCACAATGCGTAAATTCTACTAAATATAGTCCAAATAAACAAAGCTCTTTGATGTCCTCATTCTTTTCTTGGGGGGATGATACTGAGGTTTGAACTCAGGATCTCATGTTTACTAGGCAGGTATACTTGAGCTATGCCCCCAGCCCTCCCTCATTAATATAAGACTATAAAAGGGTCCAGAAAGTTGAAAACTATTGGCTTAAAATATTTTCAAAGGTGAATGTATGTGAACTAGAATGACCTGAACACAGAGGAAAGTATTTATTACCTGAGTTGGAGGTTAAGGTGTTATGAGAGAAAGAGAAAATTTACCACAAAGTGGCATTTCTGTGAAGTAAATTGTGATCATTAAAGGAGGAAAAAAAAGTATAAATTTCTTACCAAAATTTAATAGCCTAGTTAATACAAATTTTATTATAACAATTTTATGAGTACACTGTTTCCATTATCATAAATGCTTTCTGAATCATCTATTATGTACAGAGTATGACCATAGGAAATCTAAGAAGTTTGTATTAAAATAACTATCTGTAAAATATTAGTATATATAGAACAAGGTTCACAGAATATTGTTTAAATTTCTGTGGTATAGTCTTAGTTTGAGTTGGGCTACCATAACAAAATATCATGGAATGGGTGGCTTAAACAACAGAAATGAGAGAAGAGGCAGAGACAGAAGAAGGGGGACAGAGAAGAAGCATGTACTCTGGTGTCACCTTTTATAAGGGCACTAATCCCACTATGAGGGCCCCACCCTATGATCTCATCTAAACCTAACTACCTCCTAAAAGCCCCATCTTCAATAATGTCCTCACTGGGGGCTGGTGGAGTGGCTCAAGTGGTACAGCATCTGACTAGCAAGCATAAGGCCCTGAGTTCAGGCCCACTTTGGGTATTAGGTCTTTAGTATAAATTTTGGAGGGAGATGGAATTCAGTGCATAACAGCTATTTCACCTGAACAAATTCTTGGAATGAAAGTATTTAAAATCTAAGAAGGGCCAAGAGATCACTGATACTTATTTAACCAACAATATATAAGAAAGAAATACTAGAAGCTTTCCTATGTATAGGTATGTTTTCCATATGTAGATATGTTCTAATAGCCATTATTTGATTCTGGATTTTTTTTTTTTTTGGTGGTGATACTGAGGTTTGAACTCAGGGCTTTGTGCTTGTTAGGCAGGTACTCTACCACTTAAGCCATGCCTCCAGCCCTATTTTCACTGGTTATTTTTGAGATAAGGTCTTCCTTTTTTCCCAGATGAACTATGATTCTTCTATTTCATACTTCCATAGCTAGGATGACAGGTGTTTTTCTAAGGAGGTGGGGTCTTGCAAATTTTTTAGACCAGGCTGTCTTGGAACCATGATCCTCTGAATCTCAGCCTCCTATGTAGCTGGGATGACAGGCATGCACCACCATACCCAGGTATTGGTTGAGATGAGGTCTCATGATCTGTTTGCCTGGGCTGGCCTGGAACTGTGATCCTTCCAGTCTCAACCTTTGAGGTAGCTAGGATTACAGGCATGAGC